GAGAAATTATATAAACTACCTAAGCCTCTGATTTTTTATCCATTTGGATGTGGGTAATAGTGGCCTTAATCTGATAAAATTCTAGTGACCATTAATGATATAATGCTTTTTAAGCCCTCAGAAAAGTGCCTGGCAAATCATAATAGTCCAATAACTACTCTGTGCAAAGAGATATTATTACCAGATAATAAGACCTAGACTGACTGCCTACTATTTGCTGTCCAGGAGTGAATATTTCAAATATTTGTACCTTTGTAAACAAGTTGTTCTTTTTCCAGTCTCCTGTGCATGTGCATATACTATGCACATACACAAATCTATGACATGAATAGAAACCGCAACCCAACTAAATGACCTCCTTCAAACTGTAATGTACCAGCCATATTTGCTACGGTTTTCGGGGAATACCAAAAAGTTTTGGGGTCATTGCATGACAGATCTTGGAATCCTTTACTTCCAATACTACATGTGTCAGAAAGTAAGGTCTCTGCCAGCCCTGAGACAGTGTTGAGAACTTAGGAGGTAGCTCCTCCTAGAGCCCAGGACAAAACCCTTCTTTAATTCTTCCCCAGAACCCACCGCACAAGCCTGGTTGCACCCTACCTCCCCAAACACTAAATTCTCACCTGGCTCTTCTCCATTAGGAGAAATCTGGGTGTGATTTGTCCATGACCTCATGTCTCCTCCTGTTTTATTTCTAATGGATCTGGGCAGCTGTGTCCTGAAAATATAGCTCTGACTAGAGGAAATATGATCTCCTTTCTTTCATTACCAAAGCTATGAGCTAAAGCCAAAAGTAAACTGAAGTTCTGAAAAGGAAGGAGAAAAAACAGCCAACACAATTGAGAAGGGTGCAGGGAAAGACAGTGGCAAGATAAGCAGTGAAAAGTGTTCTTTAAGAATGAGATAGCAGTAGCCCACGGCAGCAAGGACAACCCAGGAATGCAGAGCCCCCAGCTCCCACAGGAGAAAGCTCACCTCTTGGACCCCAACTCCAAGCAGGACCATTGTTAAAAATCTCTAAATTCTGCTTGTTATCAGCCAGACTTTACTGGGAAGAAAGGCTTTGGAGATGTGAGCAGCTGCCAGGGATCCTGTGAGTCAGCAGAAGAAATGCAGCCTGAACTGTTGTCTTCTCAGAGAAGTATTCTGGGGAGGGGTGTATAGAGTCCTGGAATGTCAGTGTTGGAAGGAACCTGTCCTTTTATTTACTTGGGAGGAACTGATGATCAGGGTAAATTCACTTACCCAAGACCCCCACGCTAATTTGGGCCAGAATGCAATTGCTGGTCCATCTTGCCATTCTGCTCCCCTCCAAAGAACACTCTGGCCTCCTGCAGCTGACTCTTTCAGGGCCCTTCAGTCGCTTTCGCCTTTCTTGCCCGATACAGTGCAGGCTACATACAGGAGCCCTGATAGTGCTGGTGTGCTGCAAGTGGGAAGGGGTTTAAAGAAAGCCACACATAGAAAATGTCACAAGATGTTTTTCTATCTATGGAGATCAATTTCACTTTAGATCTCACAGATGTTAATTTTCCACCCAGAGAAGAAAGTGCATCACTTTCAGATCAGCAAGAGAGACAGAGGAAACTCCAGGGTTATACCACCCAGCGAGAAGCTTCTGGTAATCAAGCAGATAGAGGGGCCAATAAAGTTGCCAAACACTTGATACAGTTGTTCTTTTGCTATATATGACTAATGCATATCAATATTTTATTACCAAGAAAAGAAAATGAGTTGGTATCAGAATGTTCTTAGAGACGTTTATTGAACACTTACTGTGTAATATGCAGTTCAATTTCATCCTCAACAGTATAACTACTGAAAAGAAAAGGAAACTGAGGCACAGTGAGAATAGATAACTTTCCCAAAGTTATGCAGATAATTTGTAGTCTGTATTCTGAGCCTGGCCTTTCATTGTATTTTTATTAATTCTCTTATAAAACTGTCATTCACGTTTCATAGTTTGGATCAGTCATTCCCATCAAGTTTCGCCCAGTTCAAGCCTCTAGTTAAAGAATTCCCTTCTGGTACACTTGTCAATCAATATCTAAACCAAACTTGTTACAAAAGTTGCGATGCTAATATTACTTCAGTTAATTTGTAATTCTTAGAAAATTTTGCTTTGACAGACTCCTTTCCTTTCCTACCATTTTCCTTATAGCAGCACAATTCCTAATAGCTAAATCTTGAAAGTGACCTATGCATTCACCAGCAGATGAATGGATAAGGAAAACGTGATATTTACACACAAGGCAGTACTATTCTGGCATGAAGAAAGATAAACTTGAAGCATTTTCAGGAAAATAGATGCACCTTAAGACTGTAATATTAAGTGAAATAAATCAGATGCACATATTTAAATATTGCATGATTTCCCTTATAAGAGAAATTCAAAATAAAATAAAGAGCAAGATAAAAGAGAAACTTTAATAGAGTATTGGGCAATTCCTTTAGAAATGGCTCGCCAATTAATTTATAAAATAATTAATTAATTTATTAAATGAGACAAGCCAGAAATGGTACCAAAAGCTTAGTTGGAAACTGAGGGATGATGGGGTAAGGGAGAAATGGGCTCTTCAGGGCAAACTTGTGTCAAACAAAAGAGAAAAAGAGCAAAAATGAAAGTACACCCTGGTCTGGAAGATACAAGGGGGTTACTGTGAAGAGTCACAGTAGCAGGCTCCTCATGGCACCTGTGTCCCTTATATGTAGTCTATATCTCATGGGAACCCACAAGAATTTCTACATTTGGGGTGCTGGGAATTATTTGGTGCTGTCCTGGGACTTCATACCTGACTGGTCCTGTTTATTTACCCAGCCAGTTTTGCCACACCCTATCTCCTGCCTCATTTCCCCCTGGGAGACCTAAGTCTCATAATTCTTTAAGGGGTGCTGAGGGAGGGTGGTCTCTGTCTTTCACAGCATCTTCAAAGTGGAAGGGCTGTAGACCCTACCTACTAGCGATTAAGTGCTGTCCAACTACCTTGGAGTGCTGTGGTTTACTGGCTGGGTTGAAGGCGAAAACCTTGTTAGAAAACAATGAGAAAAGAGTTACTGACCATCCAGCTGTCTGGATGGGAGAAAGGAACTTCATGATTATCCAAATGTGAAGAGCAGCTCAGATTTGACACTTCCTGTAAAGAAGACTGTGTGGTAGAGGTTTGTCAGATAAATTATCAAGCATCTGAGAAGACATGGCCGTAGCAAAATCTTGTTTACTTATCTGTAGCAGCACTGGAGTTACTTATTGAAGAGAAATCTCAAGATTCCTTTTGGGTTGTTTTCTTCAGACAGTTCAGATGGGACTACTTTTAATCCAGAAAGATGAATGCAATTATCTATCTTTGCCCCCTTTACTGAAATAGGTGAAGCAGGGATTACTGAAATAGGGCCTTTTAATTTTGAGTTTAATTGGTCAGCAAGTGTCCTTTCTCTCCAAGTTTTCAAAAGTATTTGGTCTCCAGAACAGACACCAGGTGGTTCTCCCTGGCCAGGAACTGGCAGAACTCTTCTCATATACGTGAGTGGCCTGTTGTACGTGGCCCAGATGGATGAGATATTGTAAGAGTCTAGAAGCCTCTTGTATACCGTTATATCAGAGGATGGAAATGGCTTTCCACATAACATCTTAAGAGGGCTCAAACTCAGCCCAGTTTTGGGCATGTAAACCCTCATGAGTGTTACTGGCAGCATTTGGAGCAAGGGCTCGGGTGTCTCTTGACAAAGTTTTCCAGAGCTTGCTTTAGGGTCTGGATGGCTCACTCTACCTTTCCAGAAGATTGAAGCTGCCAAGTGGCATGAAGACAGTACTTTATTCCTAAGGCCTTTGTCACTCTCTGAGTTACTTGGGAGGTAAAAGAAGTTTCATGTCACACTTGAGAGCCTGGGATAGTCCAAATCTGGGGATGATTTCTTTAAGAGGCACATTGACTATCTCAGGAGCCTTTTCTGAACAGATAGGAAAGGTTTCAATCTATCTTGTAAAAGGTGTCTGTTAGAACCAGCATCTGTTTAAACCTTCCAGCTGGTAGCATAGGAGTAAAGTCTCTTTGCCAGTCCTCTCAGGGTGTGTCTGCCTCCTTGGTACAGGTTCTATAAAGGAGGTGGTTTGGAATTGGCCCTGGGTGCTGTAGGCACAGTGGGCGAGCACCACAGACCTGTCAGATGGTGGCTTTTAGTCCTAGTCCTGTGAAAACTCAAGTAGTCATTTCCATCTGGAAGGAGTCATGAAGGGTTTTTAGAGCCTTCCACTGTGTCCCCTGAGGAAGGACCAGTTTGTTTCTTAACACCGATGTCTCTTTTTAACTCTCCCTTGTCCTAATGCCCATTTATTGTCCTGAGAGGTATAGAGTGGTTCCTTGGGACCACGTTTAATGGTTCCTCAGGAACTGGAAACAAGGCTTACGGGGCTGCAGAGGTATCCTTTTTGCCTTCCTATGAGCCTTTTGATTTCCCAAGGAGACTTTAAACATATCTCTTCGGTGATCTTCACAGTGCAGGACTGCGACCTGTTTGGGATGATGGACTGATGTGTAGGAGTTGTGCATTTTCCTGCTTGTGCTTCATAGATGATTGTTTGATAGTAAGCCTCTTTCTTTCTAGATTGTCATTCCTCAGAAAAGAGGCTTGCTTTGGCCACTTGAAAATTATATTAAAATATTATATAACCTGACTTTCTATGTCCTCAGAGAAAGCTACTTCCTTCAGCAAACCATACCCCCTCAGGATCTATGTTCCGCTTGCATAGGTTCTGAGAAATTATTTGTTTACAAGAGTGGCTAACTTCTGGGCAGAAAAGAAACGAAGGATCTCTGAGTTGAAGTCCTCTCAATCCCAGATATGGCTATGGTTTTCTAAAGCAGACAAAACAAAAAGAAATCATTGAACTGGCTTATCCTCAACCTCCAGGGTACCTAGGGTTGCTCAGAGGAGATAGTGATGTCTGTGGATAGGAGCACTGAAGGTTTCCCTGGACATATTCAGGCATCAAAGTAGATATGCTAGCTTTGGCAGCATATATACTAAATTTGGAATGATACAGAGAAGATTAGCATGGTTCCTGTGTAAGGATGACACTCAAGTTTGTGAAACATTCCATATTTTTCCCTGCAGTCATCAGAGTAGCAACTGAGGATTCTGGCTAGCAGCTTATCTGGGAATAGAGAGAATCAAACTTCCAGTGCCACAAGTCAGGCGCATTAGCTGCCTCACACGTGAAGCTCCACCTGGTCCCCCACCAGGTGGAGACTTAGTGCAGTTTTGTGCCAGTGTCCAGGTCCTATACACTTGAAACAGGAACCTTTTCCTCAGTTGTCCTTGGGCTAGTCCTCAGACAATCTAGGTGGGTTTAAAGCATTAACACTTGCAACAAGTACTATCTTAGTCTTTCTCTTTTATCTTTCCTCTGAATCCTGATTGCTAAACACAGAAAAGATTGTGTCCAGCAATTGAGCCATAGGTGTCTGTGATCTCATCTGAAGACTTTGCAGCTCATAGTGGATATCTAAGGCTGACTGGTAGATGAAGTATTGTCTCATTACTGTCTCTCTTTCCCTGGAAGATGAGTTTGTACTGATATACTTTTGAGGGACTTCTGCTAATCAGTTATGAAACATAGCTGGATTTTCCCCTGTGCTCTGTATGACCCCACCCACTTAATCATAATTAGCTGACTTTTTAGTGCACCTATTCATCCTCATAGAGTAGCTAGAATATTTGACATCTTTTCTAGTCCACGCTGAGTATGATAGTCACAGTTTGGTTCTGTTGAAGGGGGAATAGCCATTCCAGAATGGTTTCCTTCTCTTTTTAAAGCCTATTGTTCATTTGCATAGTTTTTAGTCTTTTGTAGGATTCTCTTGGATCTGAGGTATAGAAATTGGCCAAGATAAATTGGACATCTTGCCTTAATAAGTCACAAGCAGGGGCTGGGGATTTAGCTCAGCAGCATAAGCACTTGCCTTGCAAGCAGGCAGTCGTGAGTTCGATCCCCGGTACCGATAAAAAGGAAAAAGACAAATAAAAATAAAAATAAAAATAAAATAAACAAGTCACAAGCAAGAGTCAAGTTTTGGAACCCATCTGCAACCTTACTAGGGTCTTCTCACAGCCTAGTCATTCCTTGCATTGTTAGCCATTGGGAACTGGAGAAGGCAACTGTGCTTGAGTACTCCCTTCCACCCCTGGGACTTCTCTTAGCGGCAGGGCAAGTTGTGAATCAGGGTAGTAGGAAACACCACTTTGGGTTCAACTTGTGGGAGTTAAGGCTGTCTGTGTGCAGCAGGGCGCCTTAAGGCTGAATAGGCTGCCAGGTGAGCTGAGGAATGCTGGGTTACTCTTGGGCACCGGCCTCTAAGGGAGTCTCCTGGCCACTTGGAGCAGATAAGCCTGATTCATTGGACTGAGGATTAAAAGGGGGAGGGGGAGGAGACTTTCCAGTGTGGTTATATTCCTTAAATAGATCAGTGAGACCAAAATCCTGCTGAGTGACAAGTAAGGGTCTCAGAAAAGGGTCATCCAGGAAACTTTTTTCTCCTTAGAGCTTGCACTAAGTACCGTAGTTCCCTTTGATAAAGAGTCACAAAAGCCTAAACATAAGGCATTTCATTCCATCTTTTATGTTTCAAGCAGAAATGCTGTAACTGGAGAATGATGTCATAAAGTACTATCCCGAACCCATCTTTTGCCACCTCCCAGTTCATGTTAAACCCCAACCATACTGCAACAGTAGATAAGCTGTTCTTGTTTTAAATTGTCAGGCTCAAACCTGTCCCATTCATCAAGAATACAGCCTGCTGGTGAAGTCAGTGGAATCTGCAAGGTGGCATGGCCCAAGAGCTTTCCCACTGACAGCATGAGGCATCTAAAGAGAAAGACACAGCTAAGTCTGAACTCCTCAAGGGTGTATTCTACCAGAAGAACAGAGTTCACAAAATGCCATTTCTGACCCTCACACAGACTAAACAGGTATCTCTGTCAGGAGCTTAGGGTAATGCTGGCATCATTCACCACAGATGAAATTCTTTGTCTCCATAGTGGGACCCATCTACTTCACAAGGACAAGGAAGCTGAGCTGTTTTTCTTGCTTGGTCCTTTATTTCCTATGAGGTGATGACAGAACTTTCCCAAGTGACTTGGTTACTTTTTTCTTGTTGAGACAAAATACCTGATGCCCAACATAAAGGAAGAAAAGGGTTATTTCTTACAATTTGTTGGAGGATTCAGTCTATATTCAGTTGGCTCCAAATGGCAGAATCGTATGGCAGGACCACCATTCATGAATGTGGCAAATAGCATGCACAAAAAGCAGAAGAGAAAGACACATCTTCTTCCTGCCATTGCACTATATACTGACTTCACCCCTGGGCTGGTGTAGCACTCATATCACCAATCCAAGTGCTAGACAATGAACCAATCCAAATGCTAGATTTAGTTGCATCCATAATTGCATGAGGCTTGGGAGGGCCACGGATACAAACTATGACATTCTACCCCTAGCCCGCAAAGACTCATGCACATCTTTTATGCAAAAGATACTTAGGGCTGCCAAAAGTCACAGTTTCAGGACTGCTGAAAAGTTCAAGTCCCAAGTCTCCTTGGAGATCTATGGCAAACTTAATTGTAACCTCTTGTACAAATGAAACAAGGTTAAACAATTCCAAAATGCAAAGGCACAAGATAAACATTACCATTCCAAAAGTTACAAACAGAGGAATACAAAACATTGGAACAAAAGCAAGTCCAACATACAGCAGGGCGAACACTAAGTCCTGTACTTCCATGCTCAGCATCTGAAGCAATCTGGTTGCAAGCTCCAAAAGGCTTGAGTGATTCCACCCCCACGGCACTTTCAGGGGTTCCAGTTCTCACAGCTTCTCTTCTAAGCCCATTCTGCTCAGTTTTGGTAGCTTTCCTTGGATGATCCACGTTTCTGGCTTTTCCAAACCCTTGGGGTCTCCACTGTATCTTTGGCCTTTCACTCACAGCTTTACCCACTGCCCTCTTAGGGCACATTGCTTGGCCTCCCAGGCCTTCCAAAATCAGGGTGGAAGTTGCCTTAACCTCAGAACTTGCGCATTTTCCTTGCATTTGAAACTAGTGTCACATGGATGCCACCAAGGTCCGTTACCAGCTGGAGCAGTATCCAGGCTTTCTTTTCTCTTGGCTGTAGGGGCCAAGTGCCTGGATTGCTTGGCTCTCTGACCCAAGTGGTTCAGAGGAAAAGCTTTTCTATGTCACTGCCATTGTGGAATTTGGTGTGGCCACTGCCATTTTGGAACCTCCTGTGGCCTCTGTCACCACTCTGGAACACAGCACTCTGTGGCTTTCTCTTCCAAGCAAAGTCTTTCACTTTTGAAGTTTTGAGGCTGCAAAAGGTGGAGACCAACTGCTTCCTGGGATGGTCCCAGGCCATTTTTTTTTATTTCTTTGTTCTTTCTCAGCAATCAAGGTCTCAGCTCTATCTTTATAGTCCACAGCTTTCTGGCCAAATTCACAATATTTTAAATCATGCTGCTGGGCTTTTTGCTCTTAGTTTGCAACATAAATCTGGCTAAAAGCCCCCAACGATAGCCATGCCAACAACTCAATATTTAACTACCTTGAAATTTCTTTTGCCAGATTAATTAGTCTGTTGCCCTTAATCTCAGTCTCAGGTAAAGTTTCTGGACATGAGCAAAATGCAGACAAGCTTTCTGCCAAGTCATAACACATATCGTGTGGAGTCCAACAACCAGTGCAGTCCTTTTTCCCAGCAGAAGCCTCCCAAGCCTGGTCTTTACTGGCAGGCTTTCTATCAGCCTTCTGTTCTCCTGAGTTCTGACCAGAATCTCCCCTACAAAACAGCCTAATCTGTTCCAGCTCTATGCATTCAGGTGACAACTCTGAGCCTTTCCCAAACTCTTCCTATAAGCTATTCCCAAAGGCTCTTGAACCATATGGTCAGGTCACAGCAAGGACCCCATTCCTTTGGTACCAAATTCTGTCTTAGTTACTTTTCTCTATTGTTGCTGAGACAAAATACATGATGCCCAAAATTAGGAAAGGAAAGGTTTATTTCTTACAGTTCTTGGAGGTTTCAATCCATACTCGGTGGGCTCTAAGTGGTAGGGTGGCATGGCCACTGCAAATATCAAGAAGTAAACTTGCAAGAGAAAGACATGGTTTCTTCCTGCCATTAAACTATATACTGCCTCCACCCCTGGATGGGTGTAGCACTCACACCACTAAATCAAGCACTAGACAAGTTACCAGTCACAAACTCTAGGTTCAGTCACATCCACAGTTGTATGAGACTTGGAGGGGGCACTGACATAAACCATGATAAGTTCTCTTGACCACTTAGTTGAACCCCTTGATGGCCCAACTTGGATTTATTTGAAACTCCTTGATGGCATAGCTGGTATTTCAAGTCCCTTAGTTGACTCTATCAGAGTAAAAACATGGGAACAGTATCTCCTACATTTATTGAAAAAAGGACTATGAACAGGATGGCTGTTTTTATACATTCACAGTTACTTTACTTTGGTTTCACCTGTTGTTAAATGCTATTCTGTTCAGCCATCAGGTCTTTAACTTATGTGCAGCTAAACAAGGAAACACAGAAGCCAGCAGGCAATGACCTCAGGCAAGCTCTTGGACCAGAGAGTAAAGCACTGGTAAGCTGCACAGGTGGGGACACAGTCAGCCCCAGCACCAGTTTGTGCACTTGCTGTTGCTTGGGAAGCACAAAACTGGCCACCTAAGCATTTGCTCCCACAGGGCCACTGTCATGCTTGTTGCTCTGAGTTTGGCACAGGTCCAACAAGGCACACAGCACCTTGGTGACTTTGGCCTTTAAGTAGGTATTATGGTTGATACATTGTCTCAATTTGAGAAGTTTAAAAGTTTGACTAAGAGGATCAGCAGGGAGTCAGGACCCTTACTTTGTAAATATCCTCTTTCTGTGCAAGAGATCACAGAGGTGGTATCATGCTAACTTTCCTTGGGTAGGAGGGGATGGGGCAGGAAGTTGCTTACACTATAAGGGGGAAAAGAGGCTTGTTCTCCCCACTTTTGCTCTGGCTGCTTTTGCTGGTTACTGCCTTGAAGTGTTGCCCCAGTGTCACGCCACCCTGCCTTGGAGCCAGGTGATTGTGGTCTGAAACCTCCACAAACAGTGAGCTAAATAAACATTTCCTTCCTTCATGTTGGGTGATTTGTCTCAGCAAAAATGGAAAAGTATAACCAAGACAGTAGGGCTAAGCCTTTTCCCAGGCTTTGTAGCTCAGTGCAAACATTCATGGGCAGCTGTGGCCTGCCAGTGCCCTTAAGCTTGTCTGGTACCCCACTCGGCTATCTGGGCCATGGCAAGGGGAAAAGGGGCAAGAAGGTTGCATGCTTATATACACCTGGCCAGGGTAAGTTAGGTCTGCCATGCACCCCCTTTCTTCTGCCTGGAGCTGCAGTAAGGTGGTATATCCCACAAGGTCAGGCGTGTGTTAGTGCCTGTGGGCCCACATCTGTCCTACTGTATGCTCCTGTGTTTGCCTGAGAGTGTAGCTATAGTCCTCCAGTTATAGCTTTGCACACACACATACACCCCACTCAAAGGATTCATACTGTCAAAAATCACATGAGTTCTTAAAGGAATATTATACAATTTTTTTTCTTTCATATGGAGAGGAAAAAGTTTTCTCTTTCTTGTTCTCCACAAGCCCATATATGCTTTAAATCTGAGGCTTGCTTGTAATAAAAGAAAAGAGAGAGAGAATAAAGTGTTCTCCACAAGCCCATATATACTTTAAATCTGAGGCTTGCTTGTAATAAAAGAAAAGAGAGAGAGAATAAAGGAAGGATGGTGGCTGGTGATACATACTGATATAATAATCAAACAAATAAAACAAGATGGCACTGGTCACATGGCAAGGTAACTTGGTGGCCCTCTGAACCAAAACACAAACCAAGAAAAAGCCATTTACAAGCAAGAGTAAGCAGAGACCAAGCTAATTCCGAAAAAAAGCACCAAAAAGCATAACAAACGAACATGCCGACCACAGGCATACCCACAGAGTGAGTATAAGCATCTAGAAAGAAAAACAAAATGCTTCTTCCTTCCCCACAGCTAGAAAAGCAGTGAACAATCCCTGAGTGCCTTGAGAAGAGTTCCTTGCATCCTAGTCTAGGGAGAGAGTGAGGGAGAGAAGGAGAAAGCAAAGCAATTACAACACTTTAGAACGAGGCAAAGTGTGCCCACCAAGGGCCTTACCTTGGTCTCCTGATAGCTTAGCTTCACTTTACATGCTGGATTACCAAAAATGTAATTGGTTAATTCTTTTATAAATGACTCACCAATTAAACTTATTCTAAGTCCTTTTCACCTTGAGCAAAGAATTGAGCGAGACAAGTCAAAAATGGTGCCAAAAGTTTATTTGGAAACAGGGGTGATGCAGTAAGGGAGAAATGGGCTCTGCAGGGCAAATTTGGGCCAAAGAAAAGAGAAAAAGAGCAAAAATAAAAGTGCACCCTGGTCTGGAAGACACAAAGTAGGCTACTGTGAAGGTCACAGTAGTAGGCTCCTCATGGCATCTGTGTCCTTATACACAGTCCACTTCTCATGTCCCACCTACAAGAAGTTCTACATATCGGGTCCTGGGAAGTATTTGGTCCTCTTCTTGTAACTAGCTAGTCCTGCTTATTTTCCCAGCTGGCTTTGCCACAGCCTATCTCCTAACTTAATAGGAAGTAGGTAGACAGATTTTGTGCAAATGTGAAGCAACTCAAAAGATGCAGTGAGGCGGAAAAGAAGAGAAAAAGGAAGAAAAAGAGAGTTAAGATGTGTTACGAACATTTACCAACTTCCCCAAGGAATGTAATCTTTATGTACTGCAAACATGTGCTAATAAAAAAATTGAAAAAATTATGATACAAAGCACATGGCATGTTTAATTTTTTGGTTGCTCATTTCTGCTTCTCTATATAATGTATTAGTTTGTGTGGCATGTAGTTACTATAACCACCATCTTGCAATGAATTAATAAGTAGCTCTATCTTTCTTTGCTCCTAATAATAAATAAACAGGACATATAAACCCTACTATAAGTTATTTAGGATGCTTCCAAGTTCCTCATGTTATCAGTTACTACAGTGCGCTTAACTGTGTGTTACCAGATAAATGTTATTCCATGTTAATAGAGGTTTTCTTTTCTTTTCTTTTCTTTTTTTTTTTTTTTTTTTTTTTGTCTTTTTAAGACAGTGTCTCTCTGTGCAGTTCAGGTTGGCCTTGGCCTCACTTTGTAGCCCAGGCTGGTCTCAAACTCACAGTGATCCTCCTGTCTCAGCCTTCCAAGAGCTGGGATTACAGGAGTGCACCACTATACTTGGCTAGCGGAGTTTTAATTCTCTTAAGGAGGTCTACAGCACAGTTTGTGTCTTTGTGATTTCAGGTGAGAAGAGATTAAGGAAATGTAATCGGATCACAAGCCAACAAGAAGTCTCGGAAATTCAGTGAGCAGCACGCAAAACCTGCCTAAATCAGGAGTAACAAGAAGAGCAGAAGCCATACTAACCAAGAGTATGTACAAGAGACTGAGGAAAGCTGGAAACAGCCAGGTTTAAATGATCCAAATAAAGAAAATTCTCATCACACTAGCACTGACCCAGTGCGTCCGCATAGACGCAGTAGACTAATCATGATAACCGAATTAGCAGGGACAGTTAGTTCTTTGGAATAATCAAAATGTGCAACATGTATGAACACATGCTCAATCCATGAATGACCGCTTTCCTCCTTCATGCAGCAGAGATGGAGACTTGCAGTTACAAGGTAGAAAGACCTGAATTAGGGTCTGAGCTACATCCTTTCCTGGCAATATGACAGTCACTGAGAATACCTGTTTCTCAATTTTACACATGTGAAATGGGAAACACATTAAGGGAATGATTAAAAGGATGGTTTTATTTTATTTTATTTTACTTTTTTTAGGTACCAGGAATTGAACTCAGGACTTCACACTTGCTAGGTGGGCACTGGGTCACTGAGCTAAATCCTCAGCCCAAATACTTTAAAAACTGTAAAAAAATTAGCTTTTATGTATTGCATAGACATGTGGAAACGTTGACTTTATAATTATTTCCTATCCGGGTGGCTTTGGGTAGAGTTGGTAACGTACCCTGAAATTTGTTTTCTTTGATAGAGTAGTTTGAAACTAAAAGTATGAGATAACTGCCTGATAAACATTTTATTTTCCCTGGTGTTGGAGTCTCAAAAGGAATTAGACTTTTTCCCAACTGTCCCAAATGGTGTTTTCTTAGATACCCAGAAAGATCTCTGGTTTTCTATCGGGGAGATAGGAGTTCATTTGTCCAATCACTTACCCACTGGGCTTTTGTAGATATTTGGGCCTGCACACCTCCATTCTAGGGAGACTTCACTGAATATTAGCTGGCTTTCATGCTCTTGCTCATCCACACAGTATATTTAGTTGCCAAATTTTTGGTTCCATTCCTTCAACTCAGTACCTTCTCTATAATCCTACTTCTGCTTCCTTATATTCTGCTCACATTACCTCTTGCTTTGTCTACTGCAATCTCCTATTTGGTCTCCTTGCTTTCAGGATTTCCTCATTGTAATCCATCCTATGCATCACTTCTAGATAGAGTGTGTCTCTGAAATAATGTCATATTTTGCCTCAAAGTAATGCACTATTTTCAAATTCCTTGGCGAATTAAATATGGGTATTCTAAGATGATACTCAAGGCCCTCTATTTAATGTCCATGTATTAGAGACCACTAGTTTGTTCAGTCCCTTCTCCATAATATTCTGTTTTCTGCTGAATAGTAGCCAGATGCATGTCTAAACAGAACTACATTTCCCAGCCTCCCTTTTAGTAAAGAGTGGTAATGTGACCTAATTCTGCCAATGATATGTGGAAGCACCATAGGAGGAAGTTCCAGGCCTTTTGTCTCCCTTTCCTCCCTCCTGCCAGTGGGGATGCAGAAGTGCTGGCTGCCATCTTGAACCATATAAGGTGGAAGCCAGGTGCTAAAGATGGCAGAGCAACAACGTACTTGTCCCCTGGTCATGCAGAGTCCACATCAGTCCTGCATAGACATCTTGTGGCTGTGCTAACCTTGAAAACTATCCCCCAAAGCTTATGTATTGGAAACATAATCTCCCAATTCATATGTTACTGGTATTTGTAGGTGAGGCCTTTGAAAGTAATTAGAATTGGGTGGAATCATAAGAGTGAGGCCACCATTATAATATTGGTAACTTTATAGGAGAAAGAAGAGATCCAAGCTAGCACATTTGCTCATGTGATGCTTCATTTGCTTATGATCTGATGTAGCAACAAGGTATCACCAGCTGATGATACCAACAGTGCCAAGCAGACGTTGGTGCCTCTGCTCCTTCCAGCCTTTCGAACCATGAGCCAAATAAACTTCTGTTTTTCATAAATTACCCTGTCTCAGGTACTTTGTTAGAGCAACAGAAAACAGACTCAGGTGATGCTTTTATACATGAAATAAACTTCTATCTTTTTGTTTTATAGTATTTCTCCAAATGTGCATTTTGAAAAATAGATTTATTGAGATATAATTCACATGCCATAATTTTCAGTCTTTAAAAAGGTATTATTTTTCTTATGACTTTACTCTTTGGTCCCACAATTTTTTGTTTCATTATAGTTAGCTGTGTTTTATAACTATTAAGTGCTGTCATAACCATAGTATCTGGTACATTTGGAAGACAAAATTTCATTTGTTAATTTAAGACTCTATACATTGATTAGATTTATGAATACATTCAAATATTGATTACATTGAAATTTCAGTGAGACAAATAATCAAATATTTTTGAGAAACTCATACATAGTTTAGCTTATTCCAAAAGAATGAACATTCTATTCAAGGTAGCACAATGAATGTAAGCAATTTACTAAAATTAATGATAGAATTAAAATTGAGACTTTAATAAATTTGTCATTTGTCACTCATTATGTATATTGTAATTGGGTTCCTGACAGGGGGAAAAAAGGAGAATCTCCTGAGATTAATATATTTTAACAATCGTATTTTGCAAATAATGAAACTGAAGCTCAGAACAACAGAATTGTTTCAGAAAATTGTGTTTCACTATTAGATATTATATAGATGTTCATCATAATAAATTTCCTGTAGGTTCTTACTACCTTTACACCAATCAACACTTATCAAAATGTGGCCTGCAAATGATGATGGGATGTGTGATTAAAACATGGATTCTAGGTTCTACTCTGGCCTATGAATTAGAACCGCTGATGATGGGATTCTGAAATTTACATTTTAAATAAGTGCTTCCGATGATTCTGATGCACACTAAATTTTGAGACCCTTGCCTCTACATAATTAAATGATACCTTAAGGTAGAGGACCTCAGACCCTGGCTGAGACTCAGAAACCTCCATAGATCTTGAATTAACCTTTTTGGTCCCATCCCTAGGGCTTCTGAGACAGCACTTTACAAAGATGCAACCACCCAGGTTTCAAATAATTGACAGTTTTGTGGTCTGAGTAAGTGACAAAACCAGTTTTCAAAAAGATTACTGAAGATTCTGAGTAGTACCTGGATAACTAAGATTGCATTAGGTGCTGCAAACTAAACTGTCTTGCTGTGGAAGAAAGTTGGCACACTATATTTTGGAAAGATTTTCAGTAGGATTGCATTTACTTCCCAAAAGATCTTTAGAAAAAATAGTTGCAGCTTCTCAGGCTTATGCAGTAGGGAGAACACTGTCTTAACAGTTTTCAATTGTGTCCTGGAACGGGAACATCACATAAAATATTCTCAGTGCCTTAGGACCTGGGTGGAGAATTTTAAGGCAAGGTTTGCAGGGTTTCCTACACACTAGTTCTGGGTTGTTGAGCACAGTGAGGAGATAGTGACGAGCCTATGGTACATACATTAACTTGTTTTTCTTTTAAGACAAATTATATTAATATATGAGTTGTTTTTTCTATGCTAAAACTTCAGTATTTGGGTTTAATTGCTGTGTTAGTACTTCTCAATCATTAGGTGGATTTTGGTTTGCAGTGTGGGCACTTTCCTCTAAAAGGTTTCCATTACTGGCCTAAAGATGTTAATGAATAAGCTGTTACTATTAGTCATTTAATTGGTTTTCAGTCTTATTTACAGAAGCAAGTATTTCCTGGAGCAAGTCAGCAAGTTATCTGGTCTGGTCCCAGGACTGTTGAATATAGAAAAAACTTTCTTTCTTTCCATTCCAATTGAAATAAAAATGTTTGCCCCAAAATCTCCATTATCCCTAAAAATGCATTTTTCAGAATTTTGCATTCTGTAAGCACAGTGATAGCAATAGTTAACACTTGTATTTTATTTTATTTAACTTTACAGAAAGCATTCATATGCATCACATCTTTTGATATAAAAGCATGTTCATGAAGAAGTTAAATCAAGTGATTTCAGATACCCACTTTACAGATGAAGTAATAAACCTCAGGGAACTTCTTTAATTTTTCCTCAAAGTGTTTTTACTAGGAATTGTATTCCAATATATGGACTTCAAATCCATACTCTTAAACTGCACAGGCAGAGGTTTTATTATAGTATATTACATTACATTATTGTGGAGCATTTTGGGGGGGGGGAGTACCAGGAATCGAACTCATGACCTTGCACTTAAGAGGCAGGCGTTTATGCCGCTGAGCTAAATCCCAGCCCCAGAGCTTTTTTTTTTTTTTTTTTTTTTAAAGCATGTTATAAAACCTAGAGTTGATTTTGGAGCTTGTTTAATGTAATCTGGTTATGGGTCATTATAACTTGATCACAACTATAAACTTCCAAAATCATGTACCCCAGAAAGAGAAAGGTATAACTGGCTAACAGGAGAACAGCAATTAGCTGAGTATAAATCAACTGAGAAATAGGAAATAATGACTTCATGAGTGCAAAAATCACTACACAGCTCTTAGCCCTGGTTGCTAATAGCTCCTTAACGTGGGCAACCTAGAAGCAAGTTCCATGGTTTCCAAACCGTAAGCTCCGTAAGGTGAGATATATTTTTCAAGTGTGTGAAACCCCCTTCCCCCCGACTGATCAGGAAGTTATAAAGCTTTTCAAGGGGAAACTGACTGGTGGGGCATAATGAGCCATGTTACTTCCATTAATGAAATGAAATATGCCACATTTCTAAATGTCCCTTTGAATGGAAAATCCATCTAAACAGGTCTTTCCAGATTAAAAAAAAAAAAAATGCCACGATATCCTTCTGAACTGGAAAAGCACATTCTCTGTTCATCTGGGGGTGGGGAATCACAAAGTCAGATGAGGGACTATACCACTAATATAACTGATGAACATACGTAATGCACTATCTCTTGGAAACTGACTGTCCAAATAGATTAAGTAAATATCCACGCTGCTCAAAGAAGAATAATTTGATTTTCATGTGCTTTTCTCAAGGGGAGCCACACTTTAAATCAGGGGCTCTCAACCCTCAGAGTCTATCATAATCACAGGGGGAGCTTTGAAAATTCCTGATAGTCCGGCCTCAACCCCAACCACAAGACTTTTAAAACTCCCCACATGGCTTTAGTGCTGGCAGAATTGAGATCCAAACCTCTACATTAGTGGCTCTCAAAGTGTGGTCTCCAGATCAGCAGCATAACCACTTCTCCAACCCCATACCAGCCTCTCTGAATCAAAAACTCGGCTTGGGACCTGGTGATCTATTCTTTAACAGGCCCCAAGTGATTCTGAATGTTAAAATACAATTGAGAAGCACGACTCTAAATAGAAGAGCAGTGTCCTTCCACCTGCAGCTAAAGGAAACAGAAGCCTGACCTCCTCAAACAATTCTTGGGACTTGTGGCTTTTGTCTGAGCACAGAAGCCACTATTGACACATCTCCTAAGCCTCTGGCTTTCAGGTGAACTGGGAAGTGCCATGTCACCAATAAACGGTGGCTCTTAAAGATCAATGGGGACAGAAGTTACCGGACTTCAGTTGCAGGACCAGTGCCACAAGAGAGGCTGGTCTCATATGGAGCATCTACTGGGGTATTTGGGGTTTGCTGCCAGCACACCTTCTTCTGACTACAGGCCCAGGTTTGTGTTGAGAGATCTATTCCTTCCCTACTTGCAGTCCCTTGGTGGATTTTGTAAGCCAGACCAACCACATGAAGGCTTTGGCACTGTGGGCTTCAGCCCAGCCTTCCTGTCTGTCTCATCTACCAGACAACATCGGCTTTACCCGGGATGACATCCATTTCATCTACCATGCACTTTGGGAGCTTCCTCATTTCCAGTGACCCAAACCTGGACCCACCCCACTTCCTGTCCTCATGTCTTCTGGGCTCACTAACTCAAGCACCCTGTATTCAGCCCTTAGTCTCTTCTTCCAGTGTCTTTCCTTGAACACTCCTATGTCAATCCTTTTCGAACTGCACTTGTCCTTGCCATCTACTGTCTGCTGACTTCTTTCTCTTACCCTTTCTAAAATAATGAATCCCTTAATCTATAGTATAGAATTTTTAAAAAATGCACGTTGTATAACTTAAAGGACCTTCATCACCAGATGAGGTGGCACATGCCTGTGAAGTCAGCTACTTAGGAGTCTAAGCCTGGTGGAATGCAGGTTTTAGGCCAGCCTGAAAATAAAACCAGATGGTTCCTGTTCAAAAAAGAAAAAAAAATTTGAAGCACTAGAGATGTTGTTGAGCAGTTGAGTGTTTGCCTAGTATGTAAGGCCCTGGGTGCTGGGTGCAAACCACAACATCAAAAAACAAAAGCATTATAGCCAGGTGGAGGGGTGCAGGCCTTTAATACAAGCTACTCCAGAGACTAAAGCTGGAGAACCTCAAGTTCAAGGTCAGCTTGGGTAATTTACTAAGATCTTCTCTCAAAATAAAATGAAAAGAGCTGGGATGTGGTCTATAGAGAAGTGTTTGCTTGGCGTGTGCAAACCACTGGGTTTAATACCCAGTACAATAAGGAAGGAAGGAATAAGAGGAAAAACAGAAGAAAAGGAAATAAAGGAGAGAAAGAAAGAGCAAAGAAAAGAAAAAAGTCCAGTATCATTTGCCCTTTAGTATGGCCAAATGTAAGGAAGGAGGAAATTTAACCACATAAAACTGCAGAAAGTCAATGTAAATGAAATCTAACTTTAATCAATATTATCCCTAATATGAAAAGAACACTAAAATGAATTTGTTTGGGCAGAAATATTGGAATCTGCTCTCAGGAGCTAACATAATGCACCTAGAGAGACATA